GTAGTAGTAGTCGTAGTAGTAGTAAAGGTAATAGTGGTAGTAGTAGCAACAGTGGTAAAACTCCCAGCCGCTGTGGAAAGAGTTGCATCAGCAGCAGTGGCGAATGGCAGTGGCTCTGGCAGTGGCAGGGGCAGTGGCAGCAGCAGCAGTAGCAGTAGCGGTGGTGGCGGTAGTAGCAGTAGTAGTAGTAGTAGTAGTAGTAGTAGGAAGAGGAGGAGGAGGAGGATTAATAGCAATAGTAACAATAGTAGCAGTACTAGTCGTGGCAGCAGCATGTATCATAACGTATGGCATAGGTATGGAAAAGAGCAGCTGGTGATTGATGATTAAATCGGTGAATGTAGATGACTGGCTAATGACTCCCCTTTCTTCAGAGACTCCCGACATGAGCATCCTTACTATAACCGATGTTCAGTGAGAGAGGATTATTTCGGAGTCTACTTTATTCGGCTGTTGGTGTGGCGAACCGGGAGCCTTTGGAAAGGGGTCGTTGAAGACACTGAAGGCGTGGTCCCGCTGCCCACGTTCCAAAGCTGAGCCGGAAGAGTGGACTTTAGGGTTGAAGCTTCAGGGTTTATGATGCTCAGGGAAAAAACTCCATGTACGGAGGTTCTGAATGCTGGACCCGGATCGACATGAATTTTTCCAGCCAACATGCCCGCATGAGGGGGGATCTTGGCTACTAGGCAATGAAGTCGCAAGCAGATGAAGGATGTGATGGGAGCTCTTTGAGTTTTGAGAGGTTAGGTGGCGGCCGTCATCATGGGCTCTGCGCCCCCCGCCCCACACTCTGGGAAATTCTGTTCTCGTCTTAGGCAGGCCCTCGCAGGTCGAGACACGCGCAAAGTTAAAGGAAAGGTTATCTTCCCATCTCGGAGACTCTTCAAACAGGCAAAGCATCGGAATCGACATCGCTACTGTCTATGTGAAGGCATGCAATGCAACCTCAGGAGGGTTCGGGGCTTTCAGGTTTCTTGAAGCATTTAAAAACCAAGCTGAACCCCTGCAAGTTCTCAAGTCCTACTCAATCAAGCTATATCACGTGCCTTGTGTTGAAGTAGGGCCCTTACAGTATAGGTTTTCGTGACAATTCTTACGTATGGTTTTGGGAGCAGGGTTTTACCAGATATTTCCAAGTAGTACATCCAACAATCTTGCGCAGGCTGAGATTTCGGCTCTCTCTCCAATACTTGTCTTGGAGGATAGGCGTGGCTGTCGAGTGCTGGTAGTTGGCGACCTATCAGCTTCTGGCAGTTTCTGGCGCTGGACAGCCAAGGAGAAGCACGGACAAAAACTCAGAGCTTTGGAGTCGGCTTTGCTGGTTTGAGTTTGGGTTTAGGGTTTAGGTTTTAGGGTT